TAACCCTCTCCCAGGGGGATGTACAACAGAAAAGTGGGTGAAGGGCGACAGAGGACTATGTAAGATATGAAAATAATAATCTATAAATTATCAAAATATCATGAGGGCGGGCAGGGTGGCAGGGAGAGGGAAAATGAGGGGCTGATACCCAGGGCTCAAGTAGAAAGGAAATGCTTTGAAAATGATGATGGCAGCATATGTACAAGTGTGCTTGACACAATGGATGAATGGATGGATTGTGATAAGAGATGTTAAAGCTCCCAATAATTTTTTTTTTAATGGCAGCGGTCATTTCTTGTCCCTTGGGATGCTTATGCTTATTCTTTTTTTTTTTGTTTTGTTTTGTTTGTTTTTTTGCTTATGCTTATTCTTAAAACCTAGGCACCATGCCTTGAGGATACAAAAGTATCTCATGGAAAGGCCTCTGGTGAACCAGGTGAGTTCTCAGCTGACTACCTGGAAAACTTGCCAGTCATCAAGCCAGCCACCTTGAAAGCAGATCCCTGGTCCCCTAGTTGAGCCAATGCCAGCTACAGGACAGCCCACTCTCTTCCCGCCACCCTGCTCAGAGTGTGGATCCATGAGTGGATGCTCTCGGAAGCAATCACGTTTGGGTTAGTGTGTTCCGCAGCAACAGATAACTGACAGCATTGCATGGTTTGCGCTTCTCCCCCACAGTCCTGGCAAATTGATGGTGGGGCGCTGTTTGGGCACGTGTGATGCCATCTGCAGAGCGTCTCTGTGCTGGGGTGAAGGAGATGGACATTTGAAAATCAACTCTTTATGCAGAGGTAGGAAATCAACTAGAGCTGTGCAGCTGACTTATTTCAGTGTCAAGAATATCCAGAGAGGTAAATCGATAGAGGCTGTAAGTAGATGAATGGTTCCTTGAGGTATGACAGGGGAGCTTGGGGGGGATATGGGGGAGCTAATAACAATGAAGGCAAGCATGAAGAAAATGCTATAAAACTGATTGTGGTGATGATTGTGTCCTTCTTCTTCATGTGATTGGACTATGGCATTGGATGATATGTGGATTATATGCCCATGAAAGTGTTGAGGGAAAATATCCCAAACAGCCATACCTTCTGTAATCCGTCACTGATTTAAGTAGGTCCTCAGTTGATAGCTTGCTACTTTCTTGTCTATATAGCGGCGAAAATCTTGAGTCTCTGTCCACATTTCCCTGGTTATCTTTAAATACTGATCTGAAAGAATATCAGTCATATTTATTCATGTTAGTATGGAGACATGGATTGCAGACAGTGCGCTGAAGGAGATTAAGTTTATTTACTGCCCCATTTGAAGTGGAAGAAACTCCAGGAAATTATAAAAAGTAAAGGTATTCAAACTAAAGTTTTATTTGCACAGCATATGAGGTATCTTCCAAAAGTTCATTGAAAAGGTGAATTAAAAGGCAATGAGATTTCCCCCCAAACATTTTGAAGTCCCTTATTTTCACCTTTTTTTCTTCATATTTTTATCTCTTGTATGTTCAACTCTGTATCTAAAGTGGCATAAGCTCACACTACAACTTTTTTGTTCTGTTTTTTAAATGATGCCTCACATATAGTAACATCTAAAAATTTTGGAGCATTACTGGAATGAGCAAGAACAGGGACAAGGATTGTTCTTTTTTACATTATTTAAACCTAAACCTGGACAAGACATGATCCCTTCCAGCTTGGATGCACACATTAGGATTTAGTGAAACAGGGACGTGGTTGTGTATGTGTGTGATCCTTGAAAGGTTTTCATGGAAATAGACATGCCCATATCCTTTAAGTGCAAAAGCAAAGACAAAATGGAGAAGGAATCAGTCAGACATTTACTATGAATTAAGAGAACAAAATGAATCTCGATACGTTAGTTCCTGCACGACTCATTTCCTTGAAATGATATAAAAGAAAATCATGTAGAATAAATATATCTTCAAATAATATATAGTTAAATCAAACAATACTTGCTTCGTGTCTAGAAAATTCAAGAAAAATTAGACGCCGTATATAGTTATTCTCTGTGTGATATTAGGGAAATGTGAATTTTCACGTCTGTCAGCTAAAGGCCATAAGTAGATTGCTACTCTTTAAATTAACCAAAGGTCGACACATGGCCTAAAATGGCCAGGGAAGTGAACACTGGGTCACGGGGTCCTAAAGCACAAAAAGTGCCTGGGCCAACAATTCCCTCAAAAAATAGTTTCAGACTCCTTATACTTAAATCTTAATTTTGTTATGATAAGTAGTGAGGAAGAGAAAAGGTTTATCAAATAACATTGAGGAAAGAGAGGGAAAATATATATATCTCAGAGAGCTGATGGAGCTTCAAAAAAGTTTGTGGGAAAATTCTACTCTCTTTTCCTGCCATTTTCCCATGGCCATTTTGAAGCCCACACATATATTTTAGTACACAGGGCTTTTACTTGAATGAATAAAATGTCCGGACCCATACAGGTTATTTTCTAATGTGAAAGGATTTCTAAACGGAATTGGCTCCCTTAAAACCAACTGCCTTCTCTAAAAGGAGAGATTGAAGAATTCAAATTTTAGTTTGGTCCTGATTAACTTTAAAGACCACTCAGGTTGTCCACTCATCCATTTAGAGCAGTGGTTCTCAACCTTCCTAATGCCGTGGTCTTTGAATACAATTCCTTATGTTGTGGTGACGCCCCAACCGTAAAATTATTTTCATTGCTACTTAATAACTGTTATTTTGCTATTGTTATGAATCATAATATAAATGTCTGATATGCAGGATGTATTTTCATTGTTACAAATTGAGCATAACTAAAGCATCACAGTGATTAATCACAAAACAATATGTAATTATATATTGTGAAATATTTATTTCTAATTAAAAAGAAATAAAATTCTGTCTTGAAGCATGGTGTAGCATGGGTAACAGTCTTCACACCTGATACTCGTCTGTGGGTGTGTCTGCATGTGGGTGGACCTGCCTGGAGACAGATAGAGGAGCGGTGTCTCCTAAGACCATTGGAAATATGTTTTCCAATGGTGTTAGGCAACCCTGTGAAAGGGTCGTTCGACCCTCTAAAGGGTGGCGACCCACAGGTTGAGAACTGCTGTTTTAGAGTATACTCAGACCTACTTGAGGTAGTTAGTTATTGGGCTAACCTGGCCGACAAATATATGTGGGATTAATTGAAGGGTGCAGAGATAAATGGCTCGGTGATCCTCGCCTCTCTCTCTCTCTTGCTCTTTGATCTTCAGACCAGTGTGTGGCTGCCTTGCTCATCTGTGCCTCCATTTTGCAAGCTACACTACCTGTGGGACACCGAACCCGTGGACTGTGTTGCTGTAATTTGAGGTTCCTTCAAGACCTGCTTTGCCACACCAATGGAATTTACTTACATCTCTTGAGCTGGGGACTGTCGGACCCTGCCATCTGGCTGACTGTTGGTGACCTGCCTTGCTGTTGGCTGCTGTGCTCGCATAGCCTGAATTGCTTTACAGAGGACTTCCTGGCGGCCCTCAAGACTTGAAGGAATGCCAGTGTCTCACAGGAGTGAGTTGCACTGAGCCATTTGTACTGCATTATAGATTAATTATTTCTTATGTTATCCATCTATCTATATAAATATATACAAAATTATTAGTGCACTGGTTTTGTTTCACTAGAGAACCCTGTCTAACACAACACACAATAACACTGAATGCAGGTGGAAAACCGAATAAGTGAGTGTGTAAGTATCTCAGTGCTGGCCGGGGTCTCCACACAGCTTCTCCAGCACCGAGGGCTGCATCAGGGTAGGGCCATGTGACTTTTCTTCAGGGATGTCTTGCAGGAAGTGAGCCTTGCCAGCTGAGGCAAAGAACTAGCTAAGGCAGCCACACGCTGGTTTGACCATCAGAGAACAAGAGACCAGAGAACCAGAAAGGCGAGGCTCACTGAGCCACTTATCTCTCTGCCCTTCAACTAATCCCACATGTGTTTATCAGCCAGGTTGGCACAATATAAACCTTAACTATCGCAGGTAGAATTAATTATTTTTAGTTTTTCAAAAGTATATAAATGCTTATTCATGCCCATTAGAAAAACAGATTAAATTAAAGCTATGCAAAAAACAGACAGATTCCAGAACATAATCTTGTTGTTCTGTGTGGTCACATTTACACTGTGAATTTGCACTGTGAAGGAGAAATGAAACTATTCTTAGGTTGAATCTTGTAAGATCTGTGATTAGGTAAACCAAATGGTGTACTATGACAGCTTTGGTACTATGCTGCTGGAAATGTTCATGCAAATGTACATCATAGATGAATCTATGGTGGTGGATACTATTCCCTAGCCTACAACCAAATCACTAATTAGTTACCCATGCAGCAGATAATTGTGACATTGTTGGTTTTCCTGTTGTCAAAATAATTACTTCAATCATCAGTGCAATCGCCTCTTTACAAATCTATATCTGCTTTTAGTTAGCATATTTCTTTAGACAAACTCAAAGAAATTTTCCTCATAAGTACTCAGGTTATATTAATAATGGGAAATTATTTTACTTCTTTCTCCCACATTATTTTTCACTGCCTGTGATAGGTACATTTATGATACCAACCGAGCCAATAGGAAAATGTAGGACCAATAAGGTCGCAGTTTGATTGGAGGGCAAAGAGACAAATGGTTAGGCAAGCCCTGTCCCTCTGTCTCTTGCTCTTTGGTGATAGGACTAGTGTGCAGCTGCTCTTGCTAGTTCTCTGCCTCAACTTGTGAGCTACACTACTTCTCAGACAGCCAACCCATGGATCATGTTGCTAGAGCTTGAGGTCCCTTCGAGACCTGCCATGCTGCTGGTGTGTACACTGCTTGAATTTGAGGTTGTCGGATCCTGTCTTGCACTGCTTGAGTTTGATATCTCATCCAGGCCTGTTTCACTAAGCTCCTGAGCGGTAACTCGCCCTGCTGTTTGCTGCCTGTGGCCAGACTGCATGCATTGCCCAAGGGAAGACTCAGCTGTCTGCTTCCTTGACCTTGGACCAGTATATTAACTATTCTATTGAAGAGAGTTTAACTGAGCCCTGTGTACTGCTGTGTGGACTAATTAGCTGTTATATTCCTTCATGCTGTGTGTATCTATCCATATATATGGATTTCACTGATATATGAAATATCAGTGTCCTGATTTTGTTTCTCTAGAGAATCCCATCTAACACATTGCCCTCGAGTTACCAGAAAAGGGTATTGATGAGGTGAAGATGAAGTTTCTGTGAAGCTCAAAGTGGTTATAATGATAAACATACTAGCATTATTCGAGCCATGAGTGCAATAAATGTGATGGATAATACACGGATGCTCAAAATGAAACCTTGCCATGATGCCTATATCCAAGGAGATTTCAAAAAAGATCGGGGGAAAAAGTGAATTAGAATATAATGGAATTTTCCATGAACTTGTTGGAGCCCCCTCATACATATTCTATTAGATTCAGGATCAAAAGTTCAACCACACCTACCTTACAGCCCAAGCAAACGGCATGCGGTATTTCCCCAATTTGCTGCAGAACTGCCTGTTGGATTTTAGGATCTTTTGTGCATACTAAGAGGAGAGCAAATAAAAACACCGTCAGCACATCACTTTACAAACTGTACTTGTAAAATAATGCAGAGTAGTTTTTAAAAGATTGTGTGGAGATCTATTCCACCAATAATTGAGTACCACATGTAGACACAAGACAGCAAGACTGTTTCTCGAAAGTGTTGAGCTGATCTGTAAGGAAGTGGATGTGTTACCTTGTTGGAGTCTGGATTCTTAATGTAAGGCTCAGCACCATTTGCAATGTTTCCCATGAGAACCTTTTCAATCTTGGCCACCAAAACAACTTCAGAGTGTGGGTTGCTTATAGAAAAGATAGCCTAGGTATAATGAAAGAGCCAGTCAGCATCTAAGAACCCATATTGTAGGTATCTATAAAATCCCCTGCTTTTTAGAAAAGGGCAGTTGTAAGAGAACGCTTCTTTGGAAAGTGTCCCATCCTATGAGATTTCTGGGGAAGAAGAATGGAATGGATATTTTTCATCCTATTATAAAACCAAAGTGCAACCTGCTTTGGGAATTTCAGCCATTCTTCTGGAAACCCCTTGACGCAGGGCTCTTCTGATTGTCTCGGAGTGGCGGTGTCAATGCTGCCGTTTTCCAAAGCCACGGACGCCCCTGAGATCATCTGCCTGACAGCAGTGTGGTTTAGATCCATGTGGAAATCGGCAGAAATCTTCTGGTTGTCTCGGAGGTCATAAAGCGCCACACTCACAAAGAAGGGTTCAATCTGCAGGAAAAAGGAAAGACGCAGTGCCTTCTGGTCAGTGTACAGGTTCTGTGTAAGCACAGGGTTGAAGAGTTTTCTAAACCACACTTTGTGATATACTTCACCAATCCAATCCCATTTCAGCTTTCTAGCGTAGCTTGATACTATAACATAACAGTAATATCCAAAAGCTATATCACATTCCAGATGCACTTGACATTGTCTTTAGCCGGTAATACATTGCTGTGACTAATTGCTGTTGGATACACCCCAATTCAGGCAACCCCAGAACAACCCTGCCCTGTCCTAGGCCATCATCCTGTGGCCTCTGCACATGTTAAGAGCGTTCCAGCTAGGGGCTGATCTTCCAGCACTACATTAAACCAGGCTTTCCTGTTGTCCCCTGGGTTTCTACTGTCTGATTTTTAGAAATAGCTTGTCAGTGTTTTCCTCCATCTCGGTCTGGAAGCTCTGGTGAAACCCATCAACCATGGGTGACTGCTGGTATTTGAAACGCCATTGGCATAGCTTCAAGCATCATAGCAACAAGTAAGCCCACGAAAAAATAAATTCTGAAAGGGGGCGTACAGAGGCATTCCTGGGATAACCCAGTCTGCACTTAGATTGATGAGTTTCGAGCCCAGTCATGGGAATTAAGCTAAAGTTATAGATTGAGCTGAAGAGTGAGCATGTGATAACCTTTTAAACATGTGGGGTCTTGTTTAGTCTTGAGAAAAAGAGAAGGGATAGGAGGCTAAATGAAATCCTGGGAATTAATAAAATGCAAAGGACAGAGAGAGGGTAGCTCTGATGGGAAACAGCTTTGTAGACCTCAGATTTTTGGAATAAATTCTGAGTTTGAAAGTCATATTTTATGCTATAAAATGAACTTTAAAAATTTGCTGTCAAACAATTCTTTCTTTATTAGGAGGACATTCTTTCACTGAGTCTTTGTAGAAGCTCATTCATTAAATGCATCAACCTGAGAAAGATTTCATTTAAAATCAAGCTTATTGAATTAAAAAAATGAGTTTAAAATAGTTATATTAATAAAAACCAATGTTGAATAAACACACATAGATTTTGAAAGGTCCATTAAGTAAAAAACTTATTAAGGGGTACTCTTTTATTGGTTCATTTTTTAATGTTTAGAAGCAATATAAAGTCTCATTGGTGGTGTGGCAGGGAAGTGCTCAGTGGTCGAGAGTCAAACCTCTCAACTGCTTCATGGGAGAAAGATGTGTCAAGACTGCTTCCATAAAGGTTACCGCCATGGGAACCCTTTAGAACAGTTCTACTTTGTCCTATAGGCTCATCATGAGTCAACATTAATTCCACAGCACTAGATTTCCAGTCCTGGTGGTACAGTGATTCAGCACTCAGGGAAAGAACGATGGGGCAGTCAGCTTCACTGCAGATCACAGCTTTAGAAACCCAGTTCGGCTCTGTCCTCTAAGTTAACTGTGAGCTGGAATCAACTTGAGGACAACAGAATATGCAAAATCTACTCTCACGTAAATTAAGTACAACGCAGACGCACAAATGCCCTCAAATCCAGGTCATCCTGTAATAGATAGGAAAGTGCAGTTGACAGTGGCCTTATGAACCGGGGCATGGCCTCTTGCCAGGAGAAACGATCCAAATATTCACATTTAGCATCTAAATATAGAGTTTAGCACAAAGAAAGAAAATCACCGGGAAGGAGTCATATGTTCCTGGCAAGGAAATGAAAAAAGCCCATAATCTTTCAGTCTCAAATTCTCAACTGGCTTTTTAAATTACACTTAAGGATTTGCAGGGTAAAAATAAAAAGCATTTATTTTTACATAATGAGCGGACTAAGTGGCACTATGCCTTGGATTAAGTTTTCCTGGTATCACCAAATTGTTTCAGAAACTGTGTGGCCTGGATTTTTCTTTAAGCCTGCATGAAGCTCCACCCTGATGCTCCACCCTTCAAGCATTCTTCACTTCATGGACATTGCTCTTCTGATTGTCAGCGACACCCTCCGAGAGAATGCATCTGCTGGACTTCTCTCTGGCTTCATGCTCCTGTGCTTCTAAGCACCACTCAACACAGTGGACTCTCTCTCTATGTCTGCATGATTCCTAGGTCTCTGGTACATCAGTTGGGCTGCTAAGTTCAAGGTCAGCAGTTTGAAACTAGCAGCCACTCCTCAAGAGAAAGATACAGCTTTCTGCACCTGAAAAAATGTACAGCCTTGGAAATCCACAGGAGCATTTCCACTCTGAACTATAGGATTGCTATGAGTTGGAATTTACTTAATGGCAATGAGGGAGATTCATCCTTTCAGTGTTTGGCTAATTTTTTAAAATGGAAATACCAAGAGGATACTCTCCATATTCCTCATGGGACTATTGTTGTTATTGCCACCAAGTCAGTTCTGACCCATAGCTACCCTATGCACAACATAGGTGTGTCAGTCTGGGTAGACTACAGAAACAAATTCACAGACACATGTGTGTATAAGAAAGAGGTTTATATACAAGAGCAAATGAATATTGAGAAAACATCCCAGCCCAGTCCAGATCAAGTCCATAAGTATGATATTAGCCCATATGTCTGATATCAGTCTATAAATTCCTCTTCAGATTCATGCAACACATGCAACACTGAATGCAGGAAGATCAGTGCATGAAGTCTGGTGGATCCAGTGGCAGTGGAAGCATCTCAGTGCTGGCAGGGGTCTTCACGTGGCTCCTCCAGCTCAGGGCACTAGCGTAGCTCCATGTGTCTTGTCAGCTGAAATGTCTCCCAGCTAGTAAGCATGTATCTCTTCTCCAGTGAGCTATTTACCTCAGTGCCTCCAAATGAGATCATCAAGCTTCGACCTGATTGACTGGCTAGAATCTAACCCTTCACTCCTAAGTCTCAAATTGCCAACAGATCACGAAACTACCACAATAGGAAACAATACCCTGTCTTGCACCATCCTTACAATTAGACCGCATTGTTACAGCCACTGTAATGTCATCCCCCGCTTCACTGCCCCTCCACCTTACCAAGCATGACATCCTTCTTCAGGGACTGGTCTCTCATTACAAGATGGCCAAAGAATATAAGATGAAGTCTTGCCATCCTTGCCTCCAAGGAGCACTCTGGTCTTACTTCTTCCAATACTGATCTGTTAGGCCTTTTAGCAATCTATGGTACTCTCAATGTGCTTCTCTGGCTCCACCATTAAGGTGCACTGATACTTCTTCAGTCTTCCTTATTCCAAGTCCAACTCTCATACGAGGCAATTGAAAATACTCTGGCTTGGGTCAGGTGTACCTTAGGCCTCAATGTAACATCTTTGCTTTTCAATACTCTAATGGGGTCCTGTGAACTAGATTTACTTAAAGCAATCCATCTTTTGATCTTTTGACTACTGTTCCCAGGAACATTGATTGCAAGTGCAAGCAAGACAAAAATCGTTGACAGTTTTGATCTTTTCTCCTTCTATCCTAATGTTACCTCTTGGTTCACTTGTGAGGAATTTGGTCATCTTTCCATGGCGTTGTGATCTATACTGAACATTACACCCCTGCATCTTCATAAGCAAGCACTTAATTCCTTCTCACTTTCAGCACACAAGGTGTGTCATCTGCACGTCACAGGTTGTTCATAAGCCTGCCTCCAATCCTGGTGCCTGATAGATTATTCGTGTTATTTTCTGCTTTGTAGTCTATCATTTTGTTTGTTGTTGTTTTTATTAAGTGCTGTCCATTAGTTTCCAACTCAGAAATCTTATATATAGCAAATCTAAATAATACCTTGGTTTGCAGCGCCCCCACAAACATCGCTATGTCTGAGTCTATTGTAGTTAATGTGCTGTCTTGTTAGGATGCTCCTCTTTTCCCCTTATTATCTGTTAGCAAGCACGCTGCCCCTCTCCAGGAAGTGATGACTTCCGATAACACGTCCAAGATGCATGAGACACAGTCTTGCCTCCTCCCTCCAAGGAGAATTCTGGCTCGGCTTCTTTCAAGGCAGATTTCTTCATTCTTGTAGCCATCAATGACATATTCAATATCCTTCACCCATATCAGGATTGAAAAACATCCATTTTTATTCAATCTTCTTTATTCATTTTCTACCTTTCACATGTGTATGATGCAATGGAAACTACAAGGATTTAGGTGAGGCACACCAAAGTCTTCAAAGCAACAGCTTTGCTCTTCAACACTTTAATGATGCCTTTTGCAGCAAACTTTGTCTCATGACATATATTGTTTGGTTTCTTGATTTCTGCTTCACTGGGCATGGCTGATGAGCCCAAGCAAAATGAAACTCTTGACACCTTCAAAAGTCTCATGTTTTGCGATTTAATTATTGATTCAGTTCTGAAGATCTTTGTTTTATGTTGAGCTGTAATCCGTACTGAAGACTAGTATTTGCTATTCGTCAGTAAGAGCTTCAAACCCTCTTCCCTTTCAGCGGGCACAATTGTGTCATCTGTATACTTCATGATGCTCACGAGCTGTCCTCCAAGACCGATGTCTTGCTCTTCTGCATGTGGCCAGTTCCTCCGATCATTTGCTCAGCATACACACTCAATACCTGCGGTGAAAGGATGCATCCCTTTCCAGATATCAGACTCCACGTTCAATTTGAAAGACCGCCTCTTTGTCTATGGACAGGTTCCATGTGCGCATATTTACATGTTCTGAAGGCCCAGAACCTGTTCTGACCCACACAGGTGGATCCCTTTTCACTACCGGTGAAATCAATAAGCACCTTTCAGCCACGATCCATCTGCCACCGGCAAGGATGTCCCTCAATCCACGTCCTCTTCTGAATCCCGCTTGAATTGCTGGCAGCTTCTTGTTGATGGAAAGCTGCAACAACTTCTGAGGTTTTCTTTTTTTTTCTTCAAAAAAAGTTACTTGTGTTTTGTGTGAATGGTATTGCTCAAGACTGTTTGCATTCTGTTGGACAACCTTTCCTGGGAACGGGCACAAGTACAGTAGCTCCCATGTCAGTTTGACCAGGTAGCTGCCTTCTCCAATTCTTGGCGTACATGAGAGAGCACTTTCAGTTTGGCATCTATTTGTTGAAATACATCGATTCATATGGTTAGGCTTGAAAAATCACACACACACACACACACACACACACTCTGCAGGACTATTCATAATCAGACTAAGAAAAATGTTTCAAAAGCGCTCACTTGGTAAGAATAAAAAAAATCACAAAACCTTTGTGTTGATTCTAGGAGTACCAAGACATTTTTCAAATATCAGTGCAGCCACTTCAAAGTTTCCCTCTATGTACCACCTGCGCTATTATTTCTCTGGCATTTCTCTGAAAAGACGTACTCAATTCACTATTTAGCCCTGTCAATAAAAGTGGTTGGGTTTCAATTTTTTCTCATGACCATGAACATCTATATGTAAATATTAAAATAAAAATATCCATGTGAACACCCCTCTTGAATGCCACCAATGTACGACCGTGGGACACGGCACCTTGGGCTGCCTCCAGCGAAGCAATTGTGGAACTTAGTCCCTTTGCTGCTGCTTCTTTAAGTCAACGGGGGCATTTAGCAGCAGTCTCAGGCAATCCCACGCCAGACCACTGTACTTTTGTAATGTGGAAATACACCATCAGCCTTCCTCCCGCTGGTCCCTCCCCGAGGTAGTGGGCTAGCAGTCGCGGGAGCTGTAGGCGACAGTGGTGCTGTGGTGTTGGCGGGTGGCACAGGCATTCGAGAAGAGGAACTTACGTTCGTTACTGGATCATTTTCATTCTCCGTCACACATCCCTGGAGATTCAGATTGAGGGCTTTACCGATGACCAGGATCCTCTTGGCTGCTTTCTCTTCAAACGGTTTGATCACAGACTCCGGCATTAATATATCCTTTTTCTGAAGTTTCAAGGTCTAAGAAAAATTGGAATATGCTAGTCAGCAAGCATCCATCATAAAAACAACACGATACACTCGACATGGAATCAGACAGATCAGGTTCATCTCTGTCGAAGAAACAAAATCCAGCTTACATCTATATCCGGATCTAGTGAGAACAGATTTAACCTCTCCAAGTTCCGAGTCATTCGGACCGTTTCTTCCGTTTCCGTGAGGTACTGCGGAGAAAGCGATGTTAGTGTTTGGTATCACAACATCCAGGCACGCTCAGACCGCCTCACCCCACTGTCACAAAGTCACTGTGCTTCAGTACCTTCGACTCCATTGAACCCACGGCTACCCATGGGACAACACGGAACTCCCACAGAGGGTTTCTTGATTGGAATCTTGATGTGCCACAGCAGTGGATTGTTAAGGTCTCTATCCCTGAGAGCCACTGAGCGGGTCCCAACTCTCAGCCTTTGGGTTGTGAGTTACTACGTACGTACCTTGCCAGCCATACCACCTGGGCGCTTGGCCAAGAGAGAGCCTTAAAACCAATCACGTGCTGCCACTGAGTCAATTCTGACTGATAACGACCCTACAGAACGTTGTTGAGAGCTGCCATAGTCGGTTCCAACCCATAGCAATGCTGCACAAGAGCGAAGCACAGCTCTTCCTGTGCCGAGCCCCTGGACGCAGCCACTGTTGTCAATCGGTCTCATAGAGGCCCTTCCTCTTTTTGGAACAGGCCGTAAGGCAGCGGTTCTCAACCTGGGGGTCGCGACCCCTTTGGGGGTTGAACGACCCTTTCACAGGGGTTGCCCGATTCATAACAGTAGCAAAATGACAGTGATGAAGTAGCAATGAAAATGATTTTATGGTTGGGTGGTCACCACCACATGAGGAACTGTATGAAAGGGTGGCGGCATTAGGAAGGTTGAGAACCACTGCCTTATGGGTTTCTGTGGCTGCACATTTTTACAAGAGCAGAAGCCTTAGCTTTCTTGTAGAGGCTAATGGGTTCAAACTGCTGACCTTGTGGGGCTGGCAGCCCAGCACATAACCCAGGACTCCTTTTAAGAAATAGGCTTTAGTGTTTCAACCTTCCCCATCAACACTCAGCAAATGTTATAAGACCATGCGTTGATTTTCGAGTGTTGTGGGGATATTAAGTAAAACACAGAGCTTAATGGGAATCGCTGAGTTAGTTCCTCAGGCTAAATCTTAATGAACAAAACCAACAAAAGCACATAAACCCGCCTGCTTTGGAAAATGCCAACTTTATTACTTTTGCAAAGTCTGGGTGGAGGCTGCTCTCGGAAGGTTCTGTCTCCTCAGGTGTGCATTCACAAGCTACCGAGTTCTCCAGTGGATCTTGAAAACAAACAAACAAACAAACCAGTAAGTAATATTAAGTCATATTCACGGGACACACTTTTTTCCTAGCCTGAGACTTATGAAAACACAGTTAGACATCAGAATAATGAGGGCTTTTCTGGAGGACCCCCAGCTTGTGCCCTGACTCAAGGACTCCGCACTTGGACCTCTGGAGGATCAGTGAGAGGTTCTGCCCACACTACCTTCCTGTGTGCGTACGAACTTCACATTCTGATGTGATGAACTTTAGACTTAAAGGTGGTCTTGACTTCCATTTTCAATGCATATGTAACTTTTCTAAGTATTTTTGATAACTTTGGCTTTCGGGCCATTGATTCAAACCTATTTTCTAGCTTCAGTGCCTTAAACTTTCTCTGTACGTCTCTGTACAAGTGCTTACTTGAGCTGATTATTATTAATTAAGTCATGGGTGTAAAACACCTACTGTGGCATATACCCATGACCATTGGGTCAAGTCTGACTCACAGTGTCCCTGTATTTTTTATGGAATCAGACTTCCACACTGCAGCCCGGGGAGAGACGACCATCCTTCATTATCGGAGCTGAGCTCTTAGCCACTTGATTCAGCAGACAGGGGTACATCCCTGATGCTGCTAGCAGATGATTTCCAACATCATTTGTTGAGTGGCAGCCTTCAGTCATTGCTAAGAGTTACTGTGGGATCCATTCTGATGCCTGGTGAGCCCAGGCATGTCAGAATAGACCTGTGCTCCCGAGGGTTTTCAAGGGCTCATGTTTCAAAAGGCAATTGCCAGGCCTTTCTTCTGAGGTGCCTCTGTCAGCATCAGAACACCTGATCCATTTGTACCACCCAGGGACTCCAGACCATTGTCACACACGGATGCGTGGGACCACTCACTCTTCACCACCAGGACAGATTTGGGGGTAATCTCCAGGAGCATATTGCTCAGGGATGGGCTGCTAGACTTACAAGCTACCAGGAGCTTAAGTGGGCAAAGGGAGCAGAGCTCGGTCCTCACCCAGCCCCAGGTCAGTGAGCTCCATGCTCCGTCTTCCCTGCAGGGTCCCCTCAGGACTGATTTGCAAGATGCGGTTCAGGGTGTGGATCCACTCCTCCATGTCGGACTCCGTTTCTGCAGCCAGCACGAAATAGGTGAGGTCATTCATCTTTAGCTCAATGGCATGTTTCCTCAGTCGGTTATTCTGTTGGACAAAAAAGGTAGGAGGACATCTTTGAGAGAGCAAGTCTTAGAGCGCAAGAGGTCTCTTACCCAAGGTCGGGGCTCACAATGGTTCCATACAGCAGGGGACATATAGGACATCTCCCGCAACAGGAGACCACTTTAGGCGACTGTCAACCATTTGGCTTGGTTTCTTTCCAGGCTTTTATCCTAAACTATCCCAGAGTTAGGTGATTGTGGATCCGATGGAGACCTGGGTTGAGCGATGAAGATATTCTAAGCATCTTCAGATAGTGACTGTCACTTGCTGCCCTTCCTTACATTCTCACCTGAAGTTCAGTTTAGGATTCCCGCCAGGTGGTCTCCTGGCCTCCCTGTATCCCACGGGTGACACCTGCCAAAGTTCTAGCAAAGTTTGTACAGTGGCCACTTTTTGCTTCTTGAAAGCCATCTTCCATCCGGTTCGCCTGAACCACTCTCTCTTGTATTTCTCCCAACTCACCAGTCACCACTTTGGAATATTTTGTCCCTTCTCTGGCTTTTGAGTGTGATCACCTTCAGTTCTTTCTCAATCAGCCCTTTCACTCTGTTAGGAGGTACCCAAGGGCTGTAAAGGCCAGCCACCTGCAGTAACACCCACATCCCTTCTCAGCCTCTCCTTTTTTGACCAGCTTCCAATCTCTTCTCTCCCTGCACTTCCCTGTGCATACTGTCACCAGCCCCGGGCTTCTTTCCAGTGCACCAGAGGCACTGACTGCACCTCACTGCTGGCCCACGGCTAATATCGGCCACCTGCCACACAGGGCAAACACACTAAGCATACTTCCTCTACCTCAGAGGCAGAACCTAGCTGGGTGGACGGAAGGATGGGTGGGCATATGGATGAGCAGGCCTGAAGGAACCTGATAAGAGAGTGCAGACCGCACTGTCCCAGGACAAACGGAAGCAGACAGTGTAAAAGCTACCAAGTCAGCTGCTGCGGCCTCACTCCCAAGTCATAGCAAGACTGGGACTGGGCCGGCTCAAAGACATACCTGGCACTGGGTGACAATGCTCACAAAAACGAGGAAACCTACGTTACACTGCCCGCCACCCCCAATTCTTTTTACCAAGAGTCAAGGAGATGCCAACCATACCCGCCACCTATGTTCTCAGAGGAAGCTGGGAAAAAGCTCCTCTCTCCTGGAACCCCTCCTGGCACATAGCTCTAAGATCCCGCGGATGTTCCGAGGAAAACACAGTCATAAAGACGGACCCGAGTGAGGCTGGCTACAAGGACTTCATCGCTGAAGACTGCTGCGAGCGTGGGCGCCCTGGAGGAGGGCAGCGGGTAAGGAAGACTTGGCGAGACAACGTCTTTGTCCTTCTTCTCCATTTGTTTCAGGGAAACAGCCGGTCTGACTCGTCCTATTCTTGTGCTCAGTGCTTTCGTATGGACGTGCGCTTCACCTTAAGGTACACTTTGTGCTAGTTTGATAGCTCTGGTTAACCTTGTGCCTCCTCCCTAGGATTTTCTTACCAAATGCAAATGCTTACACATCAGAAAGAACCATAAGCAAAAGTATGACCTGAGACCCACACCTGGGGATGCCCGACCTGGGTGTCAGTCTACTGAAACGACCTCAAGAAGCCAGAGGCCCCTGCCTCTGATAAGTACGACTGTAGGTGCAGAAGGACAAGGATCGTCCCTTTGATCCAAATGTCGAAATGTCTACGGATTGGAAGATAACGTCAGGTTTTCCCATTTTCCACACGTGTGCAAAATCCACCTTGTTAAATTGTGTGGACAAGCTCAGCTTCTCTGTGCAGACTTCTAGTCTGGTCTAGAGGAGTTCATCAGTGTTCTGTGCTTCTAGAACATTCCACAGGCACAACCTTCTATTACCTCAAATGCAGCTCTTGCAATTCTTTATAATTGTGAGACATGAGCCTGTGTTCCCCTCTCTTTATGATTTCGATTGTGAATTTCTAATACTTGTGGAAGATTTACAATCAGGAGAGGTGGGTGTCAGGGTTGTATCCTCTCACATATCATTCAGTCTTTGTGCTGAGCACACAATCCGAGACGATGCACTATATGAAGAAGAATGTGGCATCCGGACTGGAGGAAGGCTTCTGAATAGCCTGCAATAGGCACACGATAGAACCTTGTGTGCGGAAAGGAGGGGAGGGTGGAAGCGCTTGCTGATAAAGATCAAAGACCATCGCCTTCCACACGGATGACAACTCCATATAAAGAAAACCCAACTCCTCACAATGGGACCGATGGACAACTTCATGATAAATGGAGAAAAGATGAAATTTGTCCAGGATTTCATTTTGCTTGGATGCCCAAGCAGCCAAGAAGGCAAATAATGCATTGAGTTGGGCAACTCTGCGGCACAAGACCTCCTGAAAGTGTTGAAGAGAGAGGACGTCACCGCAAAGATGAAGATGTGCCTGACCCACAGCGTAGCATTTTCAGCTGCTCAACATGCATGTGAACGTTGGATCGTGCAGAAGGAACCCGGAAGACGACTGGATGCATTTGAATTCTAGTGTCGGTGACGAATAGCGAAAGCACCACAGACTTCCAGAACCACAGACAGACCTGTCTTGGCAGACGTACAACCAGGATGCTCCCTGGAAGCAAGGATGGCAGACTTCCTCTCACGTCCTTTGACCTGTGATCACAACAGACAGTACTTGGAAAAGGATATCGTGCTAGGTCAAGGAGCTGAGAAAGAGGAAGTTTGTCAAGATAATGGATTGACGCAGTGGCCGCCACGATGGGCTGAACTGTAAGGAGGGTTGTGAGGGTGGGGCAGGACTGGATCGTGTTTGGTTCTGGGATGCAGAGGGCAGCTCGCAGTGGGAGCCAATTTGAGGACATCCAACAGCAACCAGCTTAGTTCCCAGGGACCCTGGTGGTGCAGCGTGTCAAGCTCTTGGCAGTCACTGGTGTGGATGCACTCACCTGCTCCGCAGGACAAAGGTGAGGCTATTTGCTTCCAGCAGCACTTCGAGCCTTGGAACCCTATGGAGAAACGCTACACTGCCTTGGAAGGTCCTGTGAGTCAAAATAACGGCAGTGGATTTTGGTATATTTTTTGAAGCATTAATTTCTCAGGAGTCCCTGGATGATGTCAATGGTTAACCACGTGGCGACTCCTGGTGAAACTGCTGGTTTGAACCCCACCAGAAGCACCCAGCTGTCTGCTCGGCGAAGCAACAGCCGTGAAAACCCTTCAGAGTACGGCTCTCCGGTAAAGCACACAGAGGCATCGTGAGTTAGAATAGGCTCCCCGAGAACGGTTTGTTTTCTGTTTTCTCTTTAAGACCAGCTGCTAGCAGGTCACATGCAACAAATCAGACTGCGAACTGAATGAATTCGCTAATAAGGGGAGAAATGGATATGAGAATATTGAAGCAGAAAATGTGAATTTCAGCTCACTGGAAAAATGTCCAAGAAAAGGCTTTCCAACAATATTGTGCTTTCCGTAATTAATGGGAGATTTGAGTAAGTGTTGGACAGCTAACCCCAAGATCAAAAGCCCAAACCTACAAGCCAATCCTTGGAAGAAAGTTGAGGCTCTTTGCTCCCGTAAACATTACAGCCTTGGAAACCCTAAATAGGGTCTCGATGAGTTAGAATGGCGCCAAGGGCAGTGCTTTGTTTTTGCTTAGGCAAGAAGCTCAGAAGACACCCTCTTTGAGAGCCTTTCCTTCCATTAGCCCACGTGTTCCCATTTTACAGAGATCGTAGAGGGGCACCACTTCGCCCAAGTCCTCCAGTGACAGGTGATAAAGCTAGCATTTGACTGCCGACCTACACCAATCCCAGGACCATGCTTTCTGGGAAGCCCCATGGAGCAGGAAACACTGCCCAGCCTGTGCCAGCCTAGCAAGTGTTCCTCTGCCGGCACCCATTGTTGCAGCCTCGGGGTCACTCCGTGTCCTTGAGGGCCTTCCTCTTTCCCCTGCACCTCCACTTGACCAAGGACAATGCCATCCTTCAGGGACTGGTCTCTCCTGACAATGAGTCCACAGTATGTAAACAAAGCCTTTCCCTACAAGAAGCTTATCAACCGTCCCTCTAAGGTAGAGACTGAAACCCAGACCAGGGGATGATGAGGAAGAGACTTTTGAGGCAGGAGGTCAGATTATGCCACTCCAGTGTGTGCCCAATAGCAAATTCCAAGACCCTTTGAAGAAGCTAGAAATCACGTTCAAACTGTACACTTGAAGAAGTGCGCCATCAAGGACTACTGTGCTACTTCCTAGAGAAGGAAGACTCACTTGCCAGAACATGCTTTGAAGTACACGGTAAGAAGAAAATATGTACGTTTCCCAACTCAGTGGCTATAAGAATACAGCTTTTGACATTGGCTACAGCTAAATCTTCAGGTCAGGTTCCATAGGCCCAGTGTCTTCTTAGGCCAACACCAGAGACCTATCTCTGCCCTCCATTAAGAGCCCGATTGCCCTGCTACAGAGAAATTTGGCAATTGGGTTAGAATGCAATTATCTTTCATTTATTGCGGAGTGAGCAGCAACACTGACTCAATTCTTTCCTTTGAAAGTTCAACATCATTACCTGTTGGAAAAATTCCAGATTTTAACTGAAGAACTTTCCAGAAATAGACCAGGAAAAACCTCTATTGTGTATCCACACATCCAAGTGTCCCTGGCAT